ATATTTAGCTAATTAATACACGTAGTTAAACTTTGGAAAGCAAGTTTCCATAGCTAATCAAAAAGAAACTTAAAAAGTTGCTAATAGAGCTTGCATCTGTAGCGCCCTCTGTTACAATATGACTTCGAAAATCTACAAGGTTTCGTGCCATAAATGCGAAACCGTTTCAACACAAGCTTCGCTCTAAAACAGCACCTAGTTAAGTCGCATTCAATTAGAACTTTACCGGAGAGAATAAGCTTTGTGAGTGAAGGAATCGAAGCGCCACTTCCAAAACCACAAAGATTAAGCAAGAGGGCCGGACCGTATCACGCTTATAAAACATGGAGAGAAAGTATGCTGAAAGGGATCAACGATGCCCACCACCCAAGAACGCGAGGTAATTTTGAATATCATACGTCTGTCTATCATGTTTTACATGGTGCTGTGTTTTGAGGAGCTTGAGGTTGCCATTGATTTCACTTTGTTCTTTAACATACAGCAAAATGGCCTAAACAGGAATTGAATTTCGTTCCAGCTGAGTTCTTCAGACAGTTTCTAGCCGATCTGGGCAAGCCAACAGTGTACTCCGTCAAAGACACCAGTCACTGGAGAACTCCTATATTCCATACAAGTACGAGACGGATTTCTTTCAAGATTTTTGAAATGAAAGCAATTCGATCTGCGTTAGTGGAAATACAGAAAGCACAGGCCTGGTGCGTTAACAGAGCCATAAACGATGATGATGAAAATGAGTTGGACGACATCAAAACGGCCGAGGACGCCATTCATGCAGCTATTAAACGTGCCAGAATGACCAGAAAGCGTATATCGTCATTCGTGCAGAAGCCTGTTACACGTCAGTTGCAAGAGTCGGCCGTCACGAGAGTTCGAAGTGGTCTAGTGGCCGGACGTGTATGAGAGCAGTGGCTACGGCAAAATGTCATTGCGGTATTACGTTGGGAAAGTATTTCACTAGGGAACCACTAAACTGGGAATCCCCTCTGAAAATTTCGTTATGTTATCTTTACATGCTCAACCACAACTTCGGCATAAAGTTGATTTCACACGGAACGACTTATTCGTGTCACTTATTAGCGCGGACAATTCTTAACAAGGACACTGCGGGCAAGTTTTCTCAGCATGCTGCCACAACAAAAATAATGAGTGCAAGTGGTCGTCAAAAATTATATGGTGTAACATCACTTTAAGCTGTTAGAATATTTTCCATTGCAATATTTCATTTTGTTGAGAGTTATTACAAGTCGAACAATAGCTTGTTTATTCCACAGCGCGTGTACGAGGGTAGTTCTGAAAGCGCGTGAGTCAGACGTAACAAATTTCGAGAACGTGGCTCGTGTCGCTCGACGCAAACGGAGTCACATTTACATTTATTTTATTATAACTAAAAGCGGACACAATTTTAAGACACAACTTTAAATGATTTCCTTCTTTTAACAAATTTGCAGAATTAGTATAACTACATCTGTTTACTCCTGAAAATATTAAATTCACGTTACGCGTTCCATAATTTTTGCGTTTGTCATATTATTTCGAGATCTATTACTAAAGCCGGGGCCGAGCTATCAACTTAGTTCCTACAGTATTGCCTCAATGAAACGAATTCACGCCGAAATACAGGTATTCTAAGCACCCAAGCATCTCGGTTGTTTACGGGTAGTGAACCTCAGGCATTTAACTTAACATCAACTTAAAATCTTCTTATCAGAGTATCCTTGTAAACACCAGGTGAATCGGATTCACACCAAAATACGAGTGTTCCAAGCACCCAAATATCTCAGTTGTTTACGGGTAGCGAAATGTGGCATTTCAAAGCTCGGGTCAATCTAGTAAATTTCTTGTGAAAATACCCTTGTAAACACCAGGTGAAACGAATTCACACCGAATTACGGGTGTTCTATGCACCCAAGCATCTCTGTTGTTTACGGGTAGCGAGGTTGCGGCATTCGTTCAAATTAAAAACTTCTTGTACATTTCAATTTTTCTAGTTCGAGCTCAAGACTTTGTCAAAAAGAATTTTTTTCATTATTTTACTTCATTTGAGTTTTTTTCGGGGGTGGGAAAACAGGTTGCTCGCTTGCAAAGTCCGCAGATGTTGTGAACTATCCCATTGCAAGATCTGCCGTGGGTTATTATTTCATGAAACGTGCTAATTGATATTTTGTTTATTAAACGTGTTAATTGATTTTATCCAACAAAAGTCAATAAAGCCATAAGTATAACTAACAGGAGTTAACGCCTCGAGTAGATGGTGGGGGCCGAATTCTTTTGGCGTTCAAAGCTCGTCATGTTGACAGGATTAATTTTAAAATCGGGATCACGAATTAAATCACGCTTCACGCAAATATTTCAGCGGATCCCAAGGTGAAATAAAATTGTCTAGCTAAGGTACAATTTTGATCCAGAGGGATTCTAAAAATAACAAAAATAGCAATTCATAATAAAAATTTCACTAATTATGCTTTTACTAATAACGAGTGTTACAAATATGATCTGTTTGCAAACGAATAACCCATGCTTCCTAAGAGAGCACTTTATTGGCATTTATCTTTCGCCTCATTTAATTAGTTTTAATTAGCTTTTATTTTGTACAGGATCGTTCTTTACATTTTTGGTGAACATGCCTTGTTTCTTGGAAATAGCTCATAGCAACCTTAACAGAACCTTGTGGGGTATTGTTGTATTTGATTGACAATGTCTTCCGGTGTTGGTTTGTATGAAACTCAATAGCAATGCGATAATCGTTCATTAGAAGTTCTTCGCCGAGAATTCAGTCAGAGCACACTCAAGGTAGGTTTCATTTCGTCTCAGAACACTGAGGAGACTTACCTTAAAAAAGAGACCAAGCTCTGGGACCTCCCTTACTTTTTATTTTGTATAGGATCGTTCTTTACATTTTTGGTGAACATGCCTTGTTTCTTGGAAATAGCTCATAGCTTCCTTAACAGAACCTTGTGGGGGGTTGTTGCGTTTGATTGACAATGTCTTCCGGTGTTGGTTTGTATGAAAACTCAATAGCGAAGCGATAATCGTTCATTAGAAGTCCTTCGCCGAGAATTCAGTCAGAGCACACTCAAGGTAGGTTTCATTTCGTCTCAGAATGCGGAGGAGATTCACCTTAAAAAAGAGACCAAGCTCTGAGATAAATTAGTGCTCTCCCTTCTCTCGAAACTCTCTTTAACCAATATAATTTGCTGAAGACTCTTTTTACAGAAATTACCATTTCCTTCTCCCGAAGGTTTGCCCTCCCCACATGGAGACGCCAGTCAAGTTTTTCCCATCACGTTTAGATTAGCTTCATGTTTCCAGTTAGTTTGCTGTTCAGCCAGAACTTTTACATATTGTCATTTTTAGACTCTGAAATTAGTTGTCGTCAGTTGTCTACGCATTCCCAAAGGGACTTCGCTTTACTGTTTCGCGTATATATTTTGAATAGGCTGCCTTGCGAGTCTCCCCTCAATGATCCAAAAAAAAACTTAATCTTGCTGAAGTAGATGTGTAACAAAGCCTCTCTGTCTCTCGATACTCTTAAATTTTCCGATAGCAACCTTAATTGCACATTGTTGCATCGCTAGTGATGGACAAATTTACACCCATTTGGCAAATTTCCGTGGACAATGAACATGCAGGGGTGGAAATTTTTTTAACTTTAAGCTTGCTTAATGCATCACTTTGCTACAGTAAAAAATTTACTCCTATCACTAAATTTTCTGAGGATTTAAAAATCCCATATTGATAAACAACTCGGTGTTCCACCAGAGCACAAATTCATCTTCGTATTAAACGCTTTCTGCTCTCTCTTCAGATAAACCGTCAACATGAGATATCTGGTCGTTCTGGGCCAAATCTTGATCAGCACCGTGCTTTTCACATCGGCTGGCAAGAAATGTGGTCCCATTGTTAAGAAACACAACTGCGAGTGCAAAGCCAAATCAGCGGGTCGATTGAAACTTGAAGATGGGAAATTGCTGATGTGTGATGGCAGTGATTACAAATCTCTGCAGTTTGAAATGCCTACTCCCAAAAATTCAAGGGCGAATCCAGCTTATTCGTGTAAGGAAATCATGGAGGAAGATTCCGCAGCCGACGATGGAATTTACTGGCTTACGTTCAAGAGTAAGATCAAAAATATTTTTAACTTTAATTTCTGGAAGCTTTTTAAGTAAACTCTCTTAGTCATGTAGAGAGGGCGAATAGTAAAATTTAAGTCTCGTCAAAACGTCCTGACCTCGGTTTGAAAGTTCGAGAATAAATAATGTTGGCTAAACAACTTTTCATCATTTAATAACCTCGACCCACTCAGATATATTTTTTAGATATTATAAATCGCTGTTTAGATTGTCAAACCTCTTTCGAGTTTGTCTTGGCAATAGATCTCTGATTAAAAATTGCAAGTCAGGTCAGGTACATCTTTTGCCTTCTACTGGTACCCTGTAACCCAATACTACCTGCCGCAGAACCACCACTGCCTTGTGGTTGCTTTGGGAGAAGCGAAGGCTATGGGAGTAAACCCTGACAGAAAATCCGGAGTGGAGCCCCGTAGGCGGCTGGTGGAACAAATGTGAAACCTTTCGGCAACTCCTGCCGCTGCGCTGGCACCGACCGTATTGTCCGTCGGACCCTACCAGCAGCGCCGAGAGGGGGATCCTGGCGACTGGGCACACCAGGATTTCCATATCTTCCGCCCAGGCCTGCACCTGGAGAGGTCACTCCAGCTTCGCTGACCAGCTTAGGCACAACACGGAGAGCAGCAGTCTACCGGTTATAAGTCCAGGCTCGTTTGGCGTAGAGCCGTGCGCCAGGGGTTGCTCTCGACGGTGGGAGGGGTCTTCGAGCCCCATTGGGTAGCTAACACCCGCCTCAAGCCGGGCAGCCCCCGAACAATTGAGTTGCTACCCCGCCACGACCTGCTTGCTCCATTGGGAGCTTGGAGCTTAGGCAAAACCGACAGGCAGGTTGTAAAGCCCCCGCACCAGGCAAACAACAAAGAAACAAGAAGTCACCAGCCTTACAGCTTGCTACTTGGAACGTCAGAACAATGTCTCCTGGCCTCTCTGACGACCTCCAGCAAATCCATGATGCCAGGAAAACCGCCATCATCGACCGTGAGCTGTCCAAACTCAAGGTTGACATCGCCGCCCTTCAGGAGACACGCCTCCCCGCAAGTGGCAGTCTCAAGGAGAAGGACTACACCTTCTTCTAGCAGGGACTCGAGCCAGAAAAGCACCGCCTCTATGGGGTCGGATTCGCAGTGTGCAACACCCTCCTGTCTTCAATGGAGCCTCCCTCTCAGGGAACCGCAAGGATCCTCTCTCTCCGCCTCTCGACCCCCTCAGGACCAGCAAACATCTTCAGCGTCTACGCCCCCACACTCTGCGCTACAGCCGAGGCTAAGGATGCATTCTATGAGGAGCTTGAGGCCAAGATCAGAGAAATCCCACAGAAAGAAAACCTGTTCCTACTTGGAGACTTCAACGCCCGGGTAGGCTCAGACCACAACTCATGGCCGCGATGCATAGGACACTTCGGAGTGGGCAAGCTTAACGAGAACGGACAGCGGCTACTTGAACTCTGCACTTTCCATGGTCTGTGCATCACCAACACCTTCTTCTCCACTAAACCGCAGCACAGAGTTTCCTGGAGACACCCCAGATCCAAGCACTGGCACCAGTTGGACTTCGTCATCACCAGGAGGTCCCTGCTCAACCACGTGCTCATCACTCGCACCTACCACAGTGCCGACTGCGACACGGACCACTCCCTGTTCTGCAGCAAGGTGCGTCTCCAGCCCAAGCGCATTCATCGCTCCAAACAGCAAGGACGCCCCCGTATTAGCACAGCCAGAGTTTCACTCCCAGGACCGCGTGAGCGCTTTGCCGAGACCATGGAGAAAGCCTTAGAGGACTGCCCAACTGACAGTGCCACAGCGCGATGGAACTACGTCCGAGACGCCGTGTATGAGGCGGCCTCAGACGCCTTCGGAATGCGGGATAGAAAAAGTGAAGACTGGTTCGAGGCGGGGATCAAAGAGATGGAGCCCGCTATCACTGCCAAGAGCACCGCACTCCTCGAGCACAAGAAACAGCCCTCCAAGGAAACACTGGCTGCCTACAGAGCTGCTCGCAACAACGTCAAGAGGATTGCTCGCAAGTGTGCAAATGACTACTGGCTCGACCTGTGTCACAGCATCCAAATCGCCTCGGACTGTGGCAACATCCGCGCCATG